TGGGTTATAATTTTGTACAAGTTGGACATCATCAAGCCAGCATAGAGCTGCTAACTCTTCTTGTTCATCATCAGGATCAGGCTGCTTTTTATTTGGCGTCGGAGTCCAATAAGCTTTTGGCGTCTGCTTTTTAATTAGAGATTTTACTGTAGACGTTTTGTCTTTTCATAGGAATTTTCTGTTAGTTATACTGTGGTTCTTCTTCTCCTGTTGCTGTTCTACATTTCTATTCTGAGACGCTCTGTTGTTCGTCTACCACTATGAGGCGTTTGATGTTGTGGGAAGCTCAAGGAGAGAGAATAAAAGGAATTTTTGAAATCGTGTTTTTGAGCTTCAAAGTTTTATGGGATTAGGATTTCACCCCCTTGTGACCTATAATTATGATTAATAACTTCATAAATGAAAGGGTAACTCGATATCAAAATATATGCAAGGGATGTGATTAAACTAACGTGTTCAGGTTGAAAATTCAAAGTACTTATTTATAGCTATAATCTTAAATCAACATTAATGTTGAGTAATAAATCTGTCATGTCAATTTGTTAAGACTTTGTTATACAATTTGGCAAGTGTCTCGTCGGATATGATTTTTCTTACCCATTTGCTTTTCCTATTTATGACAATTTAGAACATATGAGGATTCAAAAAAGTGGGACGCTGGCAAAAAAAAAAATCCCAGGACCATATGCTACATAGAAATTATAGCGTAGCACCAATTCCTTTTCACAACTCCTAATTTATTCTATCAAAATAAAGGGAGTTGGCTTCAAAACTGAATCATTTGTTTATATCTGAGAATAACTTCAAATTAATTAATCTTTAAATAGATGAGGATTTATTCAATCACATGATTTGGAGGATTCTTAGAAACATATATAGCTCTAGGTGGTAAATAGCTGACGTTGAGGGGCTAAACTTTTCTATCGATCTAAATTTTTGGAAAAGATAACATATTTCTAGAGTAACTTTTATCCCTTTTTCGTCTGATTATGAGCGGGCAGAGGGAGTATGGGAGTCTTTCTCATACTCCTAGATCTTCACAGCACCTCCTCAACTATTATAATGCGAGGTTCTACTTAACTAAGCCTCATGATTGTACAAAGGAGGAAGCCAATCCGACCAATTTGAATGATTTTTTCTTATTAGTATACCCTTTGAATGAGCGTTGGCGTGTCCTAGAGCGCTTCTCAAGGGCTCCCGCGCATATCTTAAAGTGATAATCACTGCACCTCACATAAAAAAATTTTAAGTCTAGAATGCTGGTCACATGCACTAAGTAAAAAATTTAYTGAATGAACAAAATTTTAAGGAACCGAGTAGGAATGGCTATGGATGTAATGAGCCCAAATACAAAATCCAATCATGATGTTGCCATTATCCAGTCCATTATGAGTCCAAAAATATCAAAACTTCAAATGCAAGTCTTAACTGCCATGATTTGTTAATGTGGTCCAAAATGATTTAATTGTTATCTCATAGTTTCTTACTTTCAAAGAAAAAAATATGTATATACTAACAACTGTCTACATAAATATCTACTCATTTGATAAATAGAAAAAGGCTAAATAAATCAAAGGTCTCTTTTCATTCTTGATCTTCTCAAAATCTCAAAATTACCCTTAATATATTAAAAAGTAGTATAATTCTTAAATTTGAGAATAGATTTCTATTCGGTTCTATGATTAAAAAATGACGGTTTGATCTTCGACTTTTAAAAGATCRTTGTTAATAGTTTCTTACTTTTAAAAGATTTGGTTCTAAAATTAAAARATGACAGTTTGRTCACGACAAAGTGACAAATCATTTCTTGTGTTGATCTTAGAGGAAAAAAAGCTCACGTGGTACTAGACTATTTTTTCTATTAATATATTTAGACAAGTGGTGGAAGAAATTGATTTTGTTGGACGGATTGCATTTTGTTGATGCACGATTTGAATGTCATACATCAAATAGCATAGTAGCATASCATCCGGCTTACCTATCCACTAAATATTAATAAACAATATTTAATGATACATTAATTTTTTGTGAACAAATTTGAAACAATCTTATTACAAAAGGTTCCTATTGAAAATCTCAATGCATAAAATTTAGAATTTAAGTTCAGGGGATCAAATCAAGGATTTCCTAAAAGACTATGAAGCATTAGATATATTTGACCAATAAAGAATTATGTCAAATTTTTGTCAAATAAATACAAAAATTAAGATAATAACTAAATTAATTTTTTTTATGCAAAAGTCCAAAATAAGGTACAAGACAAACATTCAGAATAAAATTTAAACCAAACTTTAAAAAGTATAAATGTAAACTTTAATTACATTGCTTACCTTAAAATCAAAAGTCTCATTTCTCCAAATACTCTCAACAATTCAAATCTCTCTCCAGTTTTCAACTACAAAACTTCAAAATTAAGTAAAAGGAATGATCAACCAAAAAACTTTTTTGAATCTTTAAACCAAAACCCAAAGCCCATTTATAAAAGCAAACAAGAGAACTCTGCATAATTATTCAATCTTTGTTTGGATCAAATACAAAATAAACCATAACATATCAACATTTCAATAAACAAGAATATCACTAGTTAATTTACCCTACAAGGGGAAGAAAAAGAAAAGAAAAGAAAAGAAAAAGGGGTAAATTGAATCGCCTAGGACGAAGTTCTCCATTGAAGCTCGATTTGAATCCGACCGTTCTTCGAGTCAATGAGATGATACTTCCCATTGATCCTCTTGTTTGAGACAACATCAGCTAGGTTTATGTCCACATAACCTAAAGACTCCTGATCATATAACAAAGTTTGAAATTTCAGAATATATAATAAGCTTCATTTCCTTGATTTGAAGAAACAGAGTGTGTGCATACATAGCATATATTATATACCTTGGGGTGAAGCAGGCCTATCCTCGACGAGGTGCTGTGTACTTCCACGTGAAGCCGATCGTTGACAGGCGGCTCCTCCAGCATAAACTGAAACTCCTCATCCCATCTCGGGTCTCGGTTTTTCTTAACATGCTACATTTGTGCCAAATGGAAAGAAGAATTAATAATAGACACGAGAACTCATTTCCACACGTTATACAAGTTTATCATCAAAAGCAGAGTTCTATATAACTAGGTTGGCTTTGATTGATCATATCGATATCGACTTCGCCACTGTGAGGTGAGGAGGTTGAAGGCACCGGTTACCTTAGTTTTTTTCTCCTCTCCTCGAAAAAGCAACCGGACATAGGGGTTAGTGTGATGCTTCCCTTCCACATCTTCAGCCTGATGGATAATGACAACGAGCAAGCCTCCGCCAGCGGGTGTTCCATCAGGAGCCTTTTGTATTGTGTCATCATCATCGACATCTTTCGGTGCTTCATCGTCCTTAAATGGTTTGTACAACAACTCCAGAACAAGCTGCCCTCTCGACTTCTCGTTTTGTGTATCATTAGGATCCATATTTTTCAATACGTCAAGAGTAATCTCCTTGGACTCCTCAGGTGTTAGTTCTTTCAATGGAACAACGTTCATTCCCATCTTTTCGTGCTTGCCAACCTAAGAAGATCCAAGAATACACATCGACAAAATGAGACAATCGCATAGAGATCATCTTACAAACAAGATAACGATCATAAACAAGAACGAAAAGTACCTGCTCCCAATCGTAGAGGATAAGTTCCAAGGCTTGAGACTCGGGATCTTTCACGACAAAAGTAAACTCCTCGTTCCATATTGGGTTCAAATTAGTGTGTTTAACAGTTGTTTTCTTGGAAGGCAGCTTGTCTTCAGTGAGCTTCAGTTTTAAATATGGATCTGATGCCCCAAATAGATCTTTCTTTTTAAGCTTCATTGCTCTCAAAACCTTCACATGAAGGATGCCAACAGGTTTCTTCATGGCTCTGACAAAGATTAAACAAATCAAGAGACGGAATGCTTTGCGGTAATCTTTTAATACTAAACGACACAAACCAAACTTACTTTGCAGGATCCATTATCGGTACTTCGAGGGTCCTAGGCCATAGGTACATATTGGCAACTTGGTCTTTTATAAGCTCCTGTCATTTTTCGAAAGAGAAGAAGATTTGTTAGTTACCTACCAATCAGATTAGTTTTTTGGTGTGGTAAACAGAGCAGCACAGAGATAAATGCCTACCTGAACGAATCTATACAACCCGGGGATGGACATTGCATCTGCACCGAGCAATTTCAGTCCAAAATCGACATGAGGCTGCATAGATAAATAACAATTTAAAGGGCAAGAATGTGAAAAATAAATTATCTTACTAATGACAAAACTTTTTATCGTCGTGTATAATTTGCTAAAAGAACATAAAAATTAATGGTAACCACACCTTCTCCATGAGAGAGACGAAAATTTTGGCAAAACAAGGAAATGTCGGGACCAAAGGCTTCAGGGTTATACGCGGAATAGCAAACACTTGCAAATCGACCACCTGAAAGTCAAAAGCAAATCAGATAGTTCTGGTGCTCCAATTCAAACAACTAAATGCCAGTAACACGACATCAAGTATAGTTGTAAATGGGGTTCAGTAGTTCATGAGGTAGAGTCGCTAAAACAGAGTGATAATTAATGCACATTCACCATATACATTCATTCATATAGTTGCTTTTTATGCTTATTTGTAAGCAAAACCTGAACTGTCGCTTTCAATCCGAATGCTTTCACTGAAACGGTCACGTTCGGATTCCCCGCCCACTTCATACATGGTTCCATGATCAGCTCTTTGTCATCAGTCATATAAACTTTCATTCCTGGTATGTAGTTAATCAAATATGAGAAAATAGAAATCCATCAATTCGTACCCATGAAATAGCATAATATAGTTACAAATACAGGAGTACTGGTAAGAAGGGGGGGAGGGGATTTTACCTTGAAAAGTGGGTGGTAAGGAGCCCAATGTAAGTGTGTCGAATTCAACGGCATCAATTTTGTATTTTGGAATTTGTTCTGCAATAATAGGCTTTGCTATATTATTCACCGTCTTGCAAATGGCCTAGAAAGGGTAGCAAGAAAAAGAAAAGTTATCAAAGAATGCTCGTCCGAACGGCTCTGGTAAATAGTACCGATTGACAATTCCAGTACACAAACCTTGTCCAAGTATGGCCACATATTTTCAAGAAATTTGTTGAGCCAATCAACCTACAGTAACGAGAAAAAGGTACAAGGGAAGCTGTTACTAAGCGTAAACAAAGAGTTCACATGCATTCATATTCTAACAAGAAGAAATCAAATGGTGACTGACATACACGGTCGTAATCAGGATTTTTCACCCAGAGAGGTATTTCTGGCATCATCCGTGACAATGATCGAGAATCTTGCTCAACCAAAGGGCGAACAACAGGGTCCTGAAACAATAACAAAAAGAATAAAGGCAACATAAAATCAAAAATTTTAGAGAATAATGTGTAATTTTGTATAGATGACAAAATCAAGGAGTCAATACATTCCAGTCTATTTCACCATCTAAATTGAGAACAATTTGTGAAGTTTAACAGTCACTTTAAGAAGTGTCTAAGCATAACTTGAGTTCAGTCTATAGTTGACATATCAACATGTGCCAATCACCCGAATTGTCAATACTCTCGTCATACAACAAAAGTTATTCAAGATCACCCAACAATTAGTCTACCAACTGCATTCATAACTAAAGTCATATCCTGATTCAGATCAGATAATCTATTACATCCACCATCTCTCAAGTTTCCTAAAAAAAAAAAAGAAGAAAAAAAGAAACTCGAATTGTTAGCAATCTTCGGAGTCAAGGACCTATATGTCTTCCTCAGTCATGATCCCCCTTCTTATTCTTTTTTCTTGCCTGATTGTCACCGACAGTCTTCTAACTTAAAGCAGTCCAAGGGAAGGGAAAAGAAGGGGTGACATCTAAACGAAATCCTAGGAGACATCCTAAAAATCAGCGAAAATAGAGGACACAAGTACTAGGGTCTGTCCTGTCTTCTTCAGTACAATCAAGTAAAATCCCTCAACTTATCAAATTGACAACAGAAAAATCTCCAACGAATCGGGAAATATCCCCAACGTTCCCGGAAAACACTCTCAATCCAATGCAATTAGAACAAGATTTCTACACAGAGCACAGACTGACAGTAAAGATCCATAGAAGAAACGGACGATTTCCCACAAACAGAAAGAACAAGAACTGGAAAATAGAAACCAACCTTGACATCTGCTGGCTGGAAATAGATGAACATATAATATCCAATCACAAGCCCAATAGATGTTCCCAAGCCAAAGCCGCAAAAACCCAGTATACTACTCAGTAACCCCATCTAAAATCTCCTCTCGAACTCACCCAAATCCCCCAGAACCAAACGAAATCAAAGAAAGAAAGAAAGAAGAAGAAACGACCCCTTTATGGACAAACCCTCTTCTCCATTACACCCCCAGAGAAAATAGGGATCAAAAACAGCCCCACCAGAGAGAGGGAGAGCCGATTCCTTATTCCGGAAGAATAATTCGCGATCTGTCCAAGTTAAGAACAAAAGGGGAAACGGGAATGGAATGAAAAAGAGAGAAGAAATCAAGTATGAGAATGGAAGGATAAGATTTGAGGAGGGAAATGAAGAATCAGGAGAGTAGTAATAAAGGAGGCATTAATTCGAGTGAGGTATTACAATGAGTGCCATTTTTGAACCACAACCACCACCATTGGGGCATTGGATCGAAGAAAACGGCTTCGAGACACGGAGGAAGCGCGTGGGAGTGTCGGTAATCGTCTCTTTCTTTGAGGGTCAAAGTGTAAGAAGAGAAGAAAGAAGAAAAATATCGGCTTTTTGGTTTTTGTTTTGTAACGGCTGAATAAAGGACCGAATCCCGTTTCTTTCTGTTACTGCTGCCTCTGGTTCCTTCAGTGTTAATAATATTAATGCTCTTTTTTTTTAGTGGAAAGAAAGTAAATGTTCCAATTTGGTAACTTCCATTTGACTCCCAAAAAATGGGAAAAATTAGGAGGTTGAATCCGCTCACCTCATTTTAAACTAATAGAAAAAATATTTTTTGAGTTCTTAAAAGAAAGAAGAATATAACGTTCTATAGTAGGTAAGATTTGAACTTATTTTTTAACTTTAATTTGAAGCTTTGGTAAGAAAAGTTACTGCCAACGTGAACGTAGCTCAACAATAATTGACATTTGTCTCTAATCAAGAATTCATAAGTTTGATTCTCTATGCTATTATATTTTGTATTAAAAAAAAGAAACTAATACTTTAATCATCCTTTCTCAAATGAGAAGTTATAAACTTGTTTTTACAATTTTTTTCTTGTGGGCTACATTTCAAAAAAAAAAAAGAGAAAAGAAAAAGAAATGAATATTGGAATATCTTATCGACAAGGGAGGTTACAAATATTTTGCCTTATTGAGATATGAAATTAACCAATAAAAGAAATCAGATATTTACTAAATTAGGATATTTTCTAAAATAACCGTTAAATTATCATATTATGGCCCTAATAAAAGTAGAAAGAAAGAGTATCAAGATAGAAACTAGTACTTGTTTATTTATTTTACGAATAAAAGGTGACAAAAATTTTAGTTGTTTTCCATCTAAGACTTGTTTATTATATTCTTACCTTCCATTTTCAAAATAAATGATTACGAAGTACCTAGTTCAATGACTAAGATGCATATCATTGATAAAGAAAAGATCTATTTTTTTTAAGTTGGAAGTTAAAATTCTCGTACCCAATTATTGACACAAATTTAAAAAAAAATTGAAATAATGATGAATGAATATGATTTTATTGATTTTGTATAGTAGTATAATTCTGTAATTTCTTCCTCTAATTCTACCAAATGCAAGTTTGACTCCAGGGATGTAAGACAAGTTTGACTTGAGGGATGTAAGACTTTGTTCTTGAGGTTGAATCTTCGACGTTTTGCTCGTTGAAGAATTAATTGATGTCTTGAAATTTTCAGTTCTCCAGAGAAATTTTGAGATCTTCAGATATTGAAATATTTATAAAGTTTTTAAAATTGCAGATGATCTTCAATCTTACGATAGTTTACTCTAATCTTTTGGTTCTTCCTCATAGATGAAAATGAGGAATGATCTTCTTAGTGAGCTTGGACTTTGTTAGATCTCGAGCTCAGGACCATATGAGATAAGTTGATTGGGTTCACTTATGTCATGTGGCAAAATCTAATTGGATTATTTATGCATATTCGTGACATTACTTATTTAGTCAATTTATTAATCTATTTCAATTTTAGAGACACTTGTCAAACTTTAATGGCTCTAAATTTTAATGACATATAATTTTGTTATCATCCTAACAATTTGTGGTTAACAAAAAATTTATTTTATTTTCAACCACCCCACAATCTGATTGAACTAGTTTATGTCATTATGATAGACAAATGATATTGTTAGATTTGTAGGCTTTATGTCTTTTATTTTAATTCGAAACACATTAATTTGTATTTTATCCCAAATTCAATAATAAGTATTTTCACTTTTTCCAAAAAAAATAAAAATAACAATATGTATTTTCACCGTTAATTCAAAATAATTAAATGATAATTTGTTAATTGATTGAAGTTTATGCTTCTACACTCACATTTGTTCTTTTTAGTATAACAATATGTGAGAGTGGAGATTCAAACCTACGGCCTTTTTATATATATATATATATATATATATATATTTTAGCTTAAACCTAGATCTTGGGTATCAACACCCAAACCTCTTGTCACTGCGCCAACAACCGAGGGTGTATTGAACTAAATATTTTAGTTGGTAACTCTTGCTAAGTTTATCAATATATTACTAAAATTATTCAATTATTCATATTAATTAATTGTAATTTAAGTAAAGTAAGAAGTTAAAAGAAACTTTTTTTCCCTTGTAATAAAAGAATTAAGTAATATCAACCATCTTTTTCCCTCCCTCACTCAAGCTAAGCATTGGTCGAGGACACCTGGAAGATATTTTATACATTTTTTTATTTTTGACAGTTACCAATGAAAAGGATGGTATTTTTTTAATTTGAAATAAATACAAAATATTTTAAGAAAAAAAATAAAAATGATTTGATAAAGGCATGGGTGGTCATATCATATTGAGCATAAGCGTTAACGACACGTCGTGTAGTGGGCGTTACAAATTACAAATTTGTCCGAATCTTCTTTGCCGACAATTAGAATGGACGAGATCCATAATTTGTGCCATAAATAATAATAATAATAATTAATGCTATTTTTTCAACAACACCCTTATTAAAGAAAAAGCTTTTCTTTTTTCTTATTTTCCTTTTAAATTTGATCTACTTTTTAGATTTCTTTTATTCAATTTAATTAAATATATAATTTCATCCCAAATATTTATAAGTCAGTTTTTAAATTCTTGTCCCTAGTTTTTCAAATGTTCTAATTTTATCCTTTCATGTATTTTGGTTTCTTTTTGTTATTTTCCAGTAGGATTTATTTATTTTTTATTCTTTTTTGAAGAACTTTCTAATAATAAGATCTTTGATATTGCCTTAAAAATGTTAAGGAATTTATGATTTCTCTTAAAGATATATTTTATAATTTTAGTACAACAAATGGAGTGAGAGATTCGAATTCATGATCCCTTGGTTCTAAACATGTTAATTACCGCTTAACTAAACTTACATTGGTAGATATATTTTATAATTAAATTGTAGCTACTCCATATTTTAATTTAACAAGTTAGACATATTTACCCATAAAATTAAAAATCACTCCATTCACACCCTATACAACTCAACTTACTTGACTTAAAGCCACCATAGATGTGGGATTTTCAAAAAAGAAAAAAAAAGCTAATATATAACTCAAATTAAAAGAGATCGAAGAATCAGTCTCGACAATTAGACATGCAAATTCGACCTCTATCACAATAACCAAACTATATCAAATGACCAATAACCTTCGATACATCAACTTCATATCCACTGTTATAAATTTTCAGAAAGGTAATTAACAAGAATCTTATCCCAACGTTTCTAAACTAACAACTAGTTACTAYATCAAAAGAGAAAATGTCATCTCTAAAATTTTACATAATCATCCTTTTAACTTCCATGGATTATGGTAATAACATTTTTTTTTTGCCAAAGCGAGCATAGCTCAGCGGTAATTGGCATATAGCTCCAATCAAGAGATTGTGACTTTGAATCCCCTCCCCAMCATGTTGTACTAAAAAAACATTTTTTTTCCTTTTTTTTCATAGAATCTTTTAAGGAACGTTATTAATAATTCTCAAACATGGTAGATTGTGCCTAAAGACAAACTATATAATTTGGGCTCTAAAATTAAGATGGAAAAGAGAAAAAGACAAATTAACATTATCCTTTTTGGATAACAAGGAATTGAATTGTGGGACATATGGGAAATGAAAAGAAAAAATAGAAAAATTAGAGACCATTTGATTTTAGATTGAGACAATGGAAATTATTAAGATAAAAGTAAATGAAAAAGCAGTGTCGCCCTCTTATTTCTCTCTCTCATGTGAGTGAATTAAGAGTAGCCTCCATCAGCATTAGAACTGAACCGTACACCCACACACCAAACCAAACATAAAATCAACCCAAAAACAAATGTTTTCAGCCCAAGGGAAAATACACAAGGTCGCTGGTTCGTCCTAAACTCGAGACTATATTATCTAAAGTTTCAATAATAATGATATAGATCAATAGAGAGACGCACTTGTTCTTGTTGGTAGTGGTTTTATCACTTCTCTATTTTCTCTCTTCTCTAAGTTCAATTCAGTTCGGAGAATTCGCACCGTCGTCTACATGCAGCCGTCTCTAATTTCTTTCTATCTCATATCTCTTATGACTTAAAAAAATAAGGTCATGTAGGAACCACAAAAAAATGGTGTAATGGTGATCTCAATGTATCAACCTTACCGTTGAGACAGTGCTTCAAACTTTTTGGAGCTTCTTTAATTCACTTTAATTTATTGTTGTTGAGACGTACGTTTCTGATCGAGTTACYTAATATGGTTTAAAATATTGCGTTGCTGTTGTGCCTAAGTTCATTTTCTTTTGGACGTTAATTAGTTCAAACTTTGAATCCATCTTTAAACAAGTCTCAAATTGGATCGTCTTAATGATTAGGCATTTAGGCTCCACAAAATCGATTATATTTTGTCAAAAYTGTCAACTTAAATGTTGATATGACATATTGATTAGTTGATCAAGAGCGGTGATTATTAACTTCATTCTAGTAACATGTGGTACAAGAAAGTAGGTTAGCAAGATATAATAATTCGTCGACTGTTTCCATCCTGTCAAATAATAATTTATTAGCTATTCATATATTAGTCAATATTTAAGTAATAATGTATTGAATGAAGATGATTAATTATATGAAAATTGAAAATTTTATAAYGTAGGAAATTTTTTTTTTAAGTTTGAGAACTAAATAGATATCATAAAGTTAAAAAAGTAACTATCGTCTTTATTTTGTTTTGTTATATTATTATTTTTTTTTTTACTTTTTGAACACTTGCCTTTATTTTGTTTTCATCCATAGACTTCCAAACATTTTATTTAACCCTAAACTTTGTATAAAAAATATTTAAAAAATTTAAAAGTTAAAAGACTCAACCAAATTCATCTATTATTAAAAAATTGAAGTAAAAGTTAAGAAATAATTAAATGTCAAGTGACTAAAATTATGCAAAGTTAGACAAATAAATTTATTTAAAAATAGACTAAAATAGAAATTTTGGAAATTAGAACAAATTAAACATGAAAAATTATGGAC